TGATTCTATGATTCTATGATTCTACCAATACGGTCAGGATGAGCAGTGATAGCTCCTTGGAGATGAAATTTTGTAGGGGTGCAGCCTTGTGAGAAATCTGAGAGGCCACAGGCCATTGCACCGTGCAGCAACTGTCTCTTACACAGGAAAGGTGCTGGATCAGACCGAAGGCCCATCTGGTGTCATGTCCCTAGCATTGACTGGTAGGTGATGATCGTGCAGAGAGCAGTATGCATACAGAGTGGTTCTTGCCTTGGACTACCTCCAGCAAGAAGGTGGTATCGCTGTGGCTGCCATTCCTCTAGCTGTTCTTGCTCAAGGTGTAAGGTTTGTTAGCAACTGTCACACCCACACATAAACAAGGCTTCCCAGAAGCTGGCTTGAATCTTTGGTTCCTCCAGTAGCCAACTTGCAAGACCCAGTCTCTGCAGTATCTGATCTATGGCCTCTCTGGTATCTTCTTATACTTACTACTCACCAGCTGGTATGGCTTTGTGTGTGAGTGACTGGCCCCATATCCCTCCCCTTTAACTACTGGTGAAATCTGGCCATTCCTCATGGCGCTGTCTATAACTCATCAGCTTCTCTGGTTTTTGTTACCTTCTGCAGGTTTTTCTGTCCTGTCCGGGAGTTTCTTAGCTAAATCTCCGGCCAGGGCCTAGTCATCTGCCTGCAAACCTTAACAAAACCCAGCAGGGATGGGATTGGCAGGGATCAACCTTGCAGGAGAAGAGGTCATCCAGTTCGCTGGTTCAAGTTTTCTGTCTGGGCTGAAACCGGGCAAAGGCTCATCTACAGTCAAAATGCAGACTGTCTCAGGCACTTGAATTAACATTGTACTTTGGCAGGCTAGCCTGCAAGCTTGTTCAAGAAAGGGTGTCTTGCCAGTGGATGATGATCTGCATGGATGGGGATAACCTAAAAGATGAGAATCCTGCATGGTGGTGGGGCTTTGGGGCATTTGGAGGAGGAAGTGAGGTACCTTCCCTGAACCATACTTTTCCTGTTGTTGGGCACAGTGCTAATGGCACAGTGTTGTGCCTGGTACAGTACCAACATTGCCATACTCAGGAGCTGGAGGAAGCAGATGAGGACCTTTCTGTAGGGCCCTGAGCCAAGGAAGGACATAAACACATACCTGTAACAACCGAGCATGTTCCTTTCATTCCACTCGTTCCGAGCATGTGTAGGCTGGGCCAGTAGCAGAGTGGGAACGGCATCCTGCCCATGGAAGAGATTAGCATGGTCTATGAATTTAACAACAGCAAATGGAGGTGCATTGTCAAAAGGCAAGGCATCATGTATGTGGCAGAAAAAAGCATGCAAAGTCAGATGGGCACTTGTGCAAAAGTCTGGGCTGTGGGTCATTTGAGGAGCAGGATGCAGAGAGGGGATAAGCAGTTCTTGATCAGCTCAAAGTGGAACATGAATTTGTGCATTTTAAGAATATTTAAGCATAATCAAAGATGGTAAAAATAAGGATATTTGGGCAAGAACCTAAGTTCTTGATTGCTTGGTTTTCAGGCACTGGAGTAGTGCTGAATTCATTGCTCCAGAGTAGAGCATAATATACCACCAGGCAATCTTAGCTCCCCTTTGATAAAGTTTTGAACACTAAGTGTAGGATTCAGCTCTCACACTGAGACTCCTAAATTTAGATGCTGTCATATAAACAATATGTCTAAGTCTCTGCTGTGGTCTGTGTAGACCTGGTTCTGAGCCTGCTGTTTGCCTGCTCAGGTGTGTTTTCTTTAAGCAGAGCAGAGCTGCTCTCTGAGCTCCACTGACTGCAGTAGGAACTCGGCCATTGGTGACACATGCAGGTACCTAAAGGTAGCTTATTAGTCTGAAAGCTGGATCCTAGCTGCAGTTTCCTTTTTGTATGAAATAGTTTTCTCATGAAAGTAGATAAACCCCCTCTATCTCACTTTCTTTTTGCTGCAAACACCCCATCGATGATATTACCAGTTTAGCCATCTCTTCACACCTCATAAAACCAGCGATATCTCAGATCTTCACACATGTTTTCACTTTGATGTTTTCCATCTTATGCTACTGTATAAACATATGGTGGGCAATGACCTGCTAAAGGGACGCGCGTTTTTCACGGTTAGGCAGCTGCAGCTGTGCATCCAATAGAGAAGTGCTTCCATGCCTCGCACCACTGGGAGTGCAGGGGATGGATGCATCGGGTCCCTGGACCTGGCAGTGGTAGACTGCCAGGCATCCACTCAGCTCTTTGCCATGTTACCAGTGAGCGCTTCTGCCTTGAATGCCCAGCCTTGCTGTCCCATGCAGCATTTGTCTTGCCGCTGTGCAGCCTCTTCCACTTGGCTCCGTGTAGCCTTTTCAGCCCTCGGAGCGCCAGCCCTCTTAACAGGAACAGCCCTTGCCTTTGGCTGGAGGGCAGCAGGCACTCCCACCGTGCAGGGAGGCATCAGGAGAGCGGGGCTGCAGCCAGCAGCCTCCACAGGGCTGTGGCAGTTGTACAGACGAGGACAGACACAGCTGGGAACAAAGCTTGCAGTCACCAGCAGCCAAACCCAGCAGGGGATCTCAGCACTGGCCTTGCCTAACAAGCTGGACACCTCATTCACTTCCTCTTGCAGAGTGCTGCTGGCTTTAATGAGATGGCAGCTCCCACCTCCTCGTATGAGAAAACAAGACCACTGGAGGCAGGTGAGACAACTGAGTACCAGCCCTGGGCTTGGTGGGAAGCTGTGAGCCTCATGGTCCCTTTGAGGCAGCATGCCGGCAGGCATGTGCTGTGGTGGGATGTGGATGTAACCTGTGTTGAGGGGCAGGAGAAGGTGGCTGAACTGCAAGTTCTGGGAGAGGCAGAGGTCTGGGTTTCTCCTGGATGCTTGGGGTGGTGGAAGGGAGCCATTGGGCAGGCTTGATCAGCTGTCTTCTCCACAGGAGCTTCCAGTGGCACCAGCAGCCTGCGGTCACGATTTGAAAACATGGCTAAGTCAGCAGAGGAGAACAGAAGGCAGGCAGAGGAGGAACGGGTGAGGCGGCAGGCTCGGGAGTGCCAGGCGGCTCAGCGGAAGGTGAGCCATGGCCATCTTGCCATGTCCTCCAAGGCTTGCGAAGCAGACTTTTCCTCAGGGCCATGCAGCTCCATGTCCTTCTACCTGATCTCTTTACAGTAATCTCTTGCCTAAACTGCTTCCCTGCAACTGCCAGGGACTGCCATTAAACTTCGTAGCTGTCACTGGATTTCCCCTTTCGGCACACAGATCAGGACATGATGCACCCAGCCATGACCCCCTGTGCTTTGGCCTAGGCTCCTTCTTGCCTCTAGTGCCTGGCAAACACAGTGCCATCACACCTCCCCAGTATGGCCATCCCAGCAGTCTGCATTCAGGGTTCTCCAAACTGGAGATGGCACCCAAACCCACACATTTACAAGACCTCCTTCTACATTGTGCTGTTTCTGCTTTCAATGTGCAGATAAGGTTTCACCAATAAAGCTCTCTCTGATACATTCCCTCCTTGAGGCTACTTTCTGCAGACCCCATAGTCGTTACATGTTGTCCGAAAAGCGGATTCGTGCCCGGCGTGCAAGTAACCCATTCCAGACGCTCAGGAGAGAGATTGTTTTATTCAGGCCTGGGTGCTCGGTGGACTTGCCACAAATCAAGCACACCGGGTCTAATCACCTTTCTGTTTATATCCATGCTTCTCATACATATTTTAAATTTCTCTTTTACATATTAATTAAATTTCCAGGAACTAATTATAATATTACATCATCCTAGACACGTGCGCACTAAAGCCTTTAGGGTCTCCTTGGGGGTCTTGGGTGGTCTCTGGTGGTCGGCAGGGTAGTGAACTCTTCGTGAACCTGTTCCTTTCTTTCCTTGTAAGGTCGAGGTCTGTCTCCGAGCCACGTCTGGACCACGTTTGTTTGTGGTTCTCGTTTCCAAGGTTAATCTTCGTTAGAATCTAACAATGCTTCTAGGATACACAGTTCATACTAGTTACAATTCCACACACTTACAAACACAACACCTGCTATTACCTAACTTCTAAGCAACAGGTCTTCATTGTTTAAAATTACAGAAGCGAGCAATATAGAATAATAGGTACTGTAACAAACTGTGTCTACTACATCAACAGGCCTGCTAGTGTCCACTCCCTAAGGCAGGTTTATGGGAGCTGGAACAGATTTCAGCTGGAGGAAGACTGAGAGTTGCTCTGTGAAGTGGAACAGATTTCAGCTGAAGGAAAATTTTCTGAGTTGCTCTGTTGGGAATGGGAATGGACATTGCTCTGGACCTCAT